CAGAAAAAGTTATGCTTCCATCTATGGAAGATATAAAAAAATTACACTCATATCTAAATAACAAAAGAAAATCATTGTATGCAAAACTTCAGGAGAAATTTAAATACGAAACATGGCTAGAACTTGCAAAAGTTACACTTACATCAATGCAAGTTTTTAATAGAAGAAGAGCAGGAGAAATAGAACGGGTTACTATTGACGATTTTATTACTCGCGAAGGTATAACGAAAAAAACTCATTTAGATTTATACAAATCATTAGGCACAAAATTACAGCAGCTAAAAATTATTATTACTATTATTTATTTATAAATTTTATTTGTGCGTGTAATTAAATTATATATATGGTATATGATGCAAAATAATTACCCACATATAACTTTAGTATAATTGCTGATAAATACGTAAGATTCTTAATTCGTGGAAAATTGGGACGTACAGTGCCTGTGATTTTAGACATGGAATTAGTTCAATGTGTTGAACTAATTTAGAACCAGCGAAAGGATGCAAATGTTCCTGAAAAAAATCCGTATGTGTTTGGCATACCTAGTAGTACCAAACGCCATTTCAAATATTTAAGAGCGTGTATCCTTATGCGATATTCTTCTAAAAAATGTGATACACAAATACCACATTCTTTAAAACGTACTAAATTACGTAAACATATTGCTACAACATGCATTACGTTAAATTTATCTGACAATGAAGTGGATGATTTGGCGAACTTTATGGGACATCACGAAAAAATTCATAAACGCCATTATCGACAGTCAATAGCAGCTGTAGAGATAGTTCGTATGACAAAATTTCTTGAAACAGCATTAGGTGAAAATGAGCAACAGCAATCTAATAATAGTGATTCAGGTATATACACTATTTATCTTATTATATATATGCCACAAGTACTTTTTATATATTAATTTTTGTATAAAATATATTAATTATTGTATTCCTTTTTTAAACTTTTCTGCATTCTTAATATATCTATTTAATTAGAAGAAAAAATCAGACAAAAGTCCGTATAAACCAAAACTTATGAAATTAAGGCTAATGTGTGCCACGATCATGGATGTCTGTGTAGAAATAAAAGTAGTAATAATGAATGCAACAATGAAACGTTACGTTTGGAACCTATTAAATCAAAGTATGAATATGATATATTCATTGAAATGGATTCAAATTGAGAATACGTTTCATTATGGTGTTCATTCTCCTTTACTCAATTTTTATGCATCGACGTCCGCGGTTGTAGCATATATTAGCCCTTAGTTTCAAGAATTGGTTTACACATATATATACATATATAATAATTATCATAATATTGTATTATTATTAACAGAAGAGGAAGAGATGCAAGAAACAAACAAAGATACTTCGAGTGCAGAATCGGAAAACGATGCCGAAACATGTATGATAAGTTCACGTAAACCTTCTTTATTACGAACAGAAAGGAAATTACCGAAATTTCTTAGCGTAACAGATGAACAACAAAAATCTGTAAAAAAAAAATCGTGCATCAAAACCATACAATAGTGAATAATGACAATGATTCTGACGAAACTTATTCCCCAAAGATAAAGAAACGTCGCAGTAGTAAGTTTATTTTCTCATTTTTACATATTGTATTCAGTTTTTATAAACTTATCAAGTCAGAGTGGATTTTCTTTTATATATTATTTAGTATTATATTTTCATGTGACTATGTCAAAGTATATTAATATATTAAGCTTTTATTTATAATGCATTTTTTGATAGAATTTTAATGTACATAATAACAATATTTAATTAAAAAATAATAATGATAAATGATAAAGGTTCCACACACATTAGCTTAAGTTAATTATACATTTATTTATATTATTTGTATTTTTTATATTATTTTATATTTTTTATTTTTGTATTACTATTTCTTTTTATTCTTATAATTATGACGTTATAATTTTAATATTTTCTTATTAATGAAAGTTTGTCAGTACTCTGAAGAGAATTTTAAAGTAATTTTATTCTATTAGTAATATAAATAAAAATACATTAAAATAAAATTTAAGTAAATTATTGCTTTTTATATAGAAATATTTATTCTGATTCATAGATAATTAATTTATTTTGTAGCATCTCCATTTGGTATAACAAAAAAAAGACGGACGGAAGAAGAACGTAATACAATATTGAAAGAATTTCAAAAAGAAATTACCACTTCACAGCTGCCATCTAACAAAAAAAATTTCCTGTGTAAAAGAAAAAATTAAGTGCTTATTTAATCGATACGTTGCTCAAATTAAAACGTGCATCCCTAACTATATATCTGGCAAAATTAAACGTCACTAAATGAATAAATATTTTTTCAGAAAATATTTATTTAGTCAAATCGGAAATATTTTAATTTTTTATTCAAAAATAATACGTAGATTACTTGTATTTAAGAAATTGCAAAAAATAAGTAGAATACCTAATTTTTATTATTTCAACACATAAAACTTAAAGTTAAGTTACGTTGTGAGAATTTTATAAAAAAAGAAGTTAGAGAAATTGCACTGCGCAAAGTCATTTATTTTGATTTCTTCATATATTTATATTATATGTAGAGTAGCAGTACTGTGTAGTTATTACAATTCTTTTATTGATAATATATATTCATGATTACAAGTGCAATATGTGAAATTAATTATATGACACATTAAGCTAAAAGTTAAGTTACATTGCGAGAATTTTATAAAAAAGAAAGTTGGAAAAGCTGCACTGCGCAAAGCTATTTATTTTGATTTTTTCATATATTTTCAGTTTTTATAAATTTATCAAATCAGAGTGAATTCTCTCTTTAATATTATTTAGTATTATATTTAGTATAATATTTTAGTATTATATTTAGTATTATATTTTAGTATTATATTTAGTATTATATTTTACTATTATATTTGTCACTATGTCAAAATATATTAATATATTAATCTTTGTGATCATATCTCTCAGAACAATGCGTGGATTATTTCTATTTAAACTATTAACAATTGCCAAAAAATCGTCTTTACTTTCTATAAAAATAAAGTAATTTTAATTATTTAGATATAAGTAATCAGAAATTAACGCATTGATGCAAGAATTTAACTGACAAGAAAATTAAAAAGCGCTGTGTAATAACTTTAGATTTTTTACGATTTATATTAATATTAACCTGTCAAAAATCAAATTAATATGTTATGTGCTGTTGTATGCACTTAATACGTACAATATTATTGCAATGAAAACATTTTATATTACTTTAAATAAATATATAATGATACTATTCTGTACAATTATACATATAATACATGTTTTTCTTAAAATTCCTATTAACTGAACAATTAATGTGTATCGTCTTGTGTTTTATATTTATCACATGATAATTACAAAAATTTTTAAAAATTTGAATACCTAAAAGATTATAACTTAACGACATTTCCCATTATGTAAAAAAAATGCAAATTAAAAAAAATTAAGAGTTTAACTAGGCTCTGTAATATATAAATATAAATTTAACATATATAAGATAGGCAATAAGAGCCAAATCGCGGATGACAGTGCGTTATTCTAAACGAAACTAAATTTTTTCGTTAGAATTAAATACCTGTGCACAAGGCACCAAATTTTTACTTGGACACGGCCAAGATATAAAATTGGAATAATCTCTACAAGAGATTTTTAATTCCATGTATCCCCTATTCCCCCTAAAGAAATAAAGTGCGAGAGAAAAATATAGATCCGAAAGTCGCAGAATCGGGAATCGAACCCGAGACCTTTCGCTTGCCGGGCGACTGCTCTTCCAACTGAGCTATTCAGATCCTTTCGATTCTATACTTTTCTCTGTTATATATATATATATTAATGTTGGTAAATAAACGCCTTTAAGCCAGCGTGTATAAATTAAGAGTTTAACTAGGCTCTGTAATATATAAATATAAATTTAACATATATAAGATAGGCAATAAGAGCCAAATCGCGGATGACAGTGCGTTATTCTAAACGAAACTAAATTTTTTCGTTAGAATTAAATACCTGTGCACAAGGCACCAAATTTTTACTTGGACACGGCCAAGATATAAAATTGGAATAATCTCTACAAGAGATTTTTAATTCCATGTATCCCCTATTCCCCCTAAAGAAATAAAGTGCGAGAGAAAAATATAGATCCGAAAGTCGCAGAATCGGGAATCGAACCCGAGACCTTTCGCTTGCCGGGCGACTGCTCTTCCAACTGAGCTATTCAGATCCTTTCGATTCTATACTTTTCTCTGTTATATATATTAATGTTGGTAAATAAACGCCTTTAAGCCAGCGTGTATAAATTAAGAGTTTAACTAGGCTCTGTAATATATAAATATAAATTTAACATATATAAGATAGGCAATAAGAGCCAAATCGCGGATGACAGTGCGTTATTCTAAACGAAACTAAATTTTTTCGTTAGAATTAAATACCTGTGCACAAGGCACCAAATTTTTACTTGGACACGGCCAAGATATGCTCTTGGAAGAGCAGTCGCCCGGCAAGCGAAAGGTCTCGGGTTCGATTCCCGATTCTGCGACTTTCGGATCTATATTTTTCTCTCGCACTTTATTTCTTTAGGGGAATAGGGGATACATGGAATTAAAAATCTCTTGTAGAGATTATTCCAATTTTATATCTTGGCCGTGTCCAAGTAAAAATTTGGTGCCTTGTGCACAGGTATTTAATTCTAACGAAAAAATTTAGTTTCGTTTAGAATAACGCACTGTCATCCGCGATTTGGCTCTTATTGCCTATCTTATATATGTTAAATTTATAAAAAAAATTATTTAAATTAATTTTGAAATATTTATCTTCAGAAGAAATGCAGAAAATGTTTACACTCTTAGTTCTAGTTTCTTAATAATAATTGTTAGAATCCATGAGGGGTTACATAGAACCCATAATTAAACATTGGATTTACGAAGATAATTTTTCAATTTGAGGTACTTAAAAATTTTTTATTCAAAAGCAAAGCAAATGAGAAAATAAGAAAAAGAGACTAATTTCACAGAGATAAATAAATATCAAGTTATTAATACACGAACAATTGCTTTCTCGAATATTACAGATAAGAAGTACCTTCGCATTGTGTAGCACAGCTCTGACTAAGCAGAACAATTGTCTCTGCCCAGTGCTGAGATTACTACCACCTTCATCCAAGACTGCATCCAAACCATCCAATCGATGAAAAAAAGAATGCACTTTACATTTCTCAAAGGTTTTGTATATATGTGCATATAGGTATACTGATCCAACGGATCCACATTCTCTCGATTAGTACCCGAGAAAAGAAACGGATTCTGAGGTATAATTGCTAAACGGGATCTGGAATGTTTTTCTTTTCTTTACAACTGTTAACATACAATGATTATTTTTTGCAAGTTTATGAATACCTTAATGTGTTCAGTTGTAACGTTTGAATATTCACGTTGTCGATTAATATACTCCCAGAACTGATCTCTGTCAGTCTAAACAACGAAGCTAGTAACGAACTTTTTCCAGCACCGGTGCGACCAACGACGTCTATTTTTTCCGCTGGTCGAGTAACGAATGTTATCTCTTTCAACGATGGCACTAAATGGTTCCTGCGAATATAATTACAAAAATTTCTTTTACCAAATGTTACAATCGTGCATTATCTTTATCAAAAAATTTGAAAAGATTACCTGTACATCAAAACAACTTTTTTAATTCCACAACACTTTGACTAGGCCACGCGTAAGGTTGATTAGTGCCCATTGTATTTTCAGTCGGCACATGATCTAAATACTGTTTAACTCGTTCCACCGCAATCTCTCTCTCTCTCAGTCTCAGTAACACCAGCGTGATGACGCGACACGCGATATGCGACGAATCGCGAGAATAGGATTTTTTACCTATTCATATAAACGCGATGCGCGATTACGAAACCTAACATCATTTATTGCATATTTACCATTTATTGCAATTTTATAATTTAATGACAATATCACTCTCGGATCGATGTCGTTGCACGTTTATTTATAACCAAAGAGATCCTCTTTGTTTATAACGACATCGCATCTATAGATAGGATCGCAGTAAATCGCTCGTCGCGCGCTACAAATCTTCAAACTTGGTCAACTTTTTTGCGATGTCGCACTCTATAGTGCGACGGATATAACGTGCGAAAAAGCTGCACGCTCATTGGATATCGCGCATCGCGTGTCGCGTCATCGCGCTGGTGTGCAGGAGCCATAAAGGTGCCTTTACATGCTAGCATCAAGCGTCAAGCATCTACGTTTGCGCAGATGTCACATAAGAAAAAAATAACTTCTTGTGGCTAATAATATTAATAAATATAATAAATATAATGATTATAATTAATATTATATTAATTTTCAGTACTAATATGTGCTAATATTCATTTGATCTCGACTTATTCATTGTATGATTCGTATGATTCATCTTATTATTAGCAGCAAGAAGCTGAAATCTATTTTATTTAACATTTGCGCAATGAGTTTTTGCGCCGACACGTTTGATGCTATCATATAAAAGCATCTTTATATCCAAATAATCCAATAGGATCGCATTGGAGCGAGAAGTATGTTGGGGGGGAGCCTGCTATGCGAACAAACTTATAATTTGGCGGGACCGGCACCTTCCATATTTATTAGCAATATTGCATAAGAAATTGCGTAATATATATAAGATTTCGGTTTACATTTAATGAAAATCGTTTCGTTTCGTTTGTACGCGATTGCATCACATTAAGTGAAAAATGTCACGATATATATTATTTTTTTGTAATTATCATAAATATCATGTAAATATAAAACACAAGAGAAGACGCGTAAAATGTCCAGTTAGGAATCGTAAAAAAACATGTATTATACGTACAATTGCACAGAATAGTAAGTATCACCATTCTATATTTATTTAAAATAATATAAAATGTTTTCATTGCAATAATATTGTTAATATTGAGCACAACAGCACGTAACCTTTTTATTCGATTTTTAACAGGTTAATATTAACTTAAGTCGTAAAAATCTAAAGTTTTTACTTAGCACTGCTTTTTAATTTTCTTTTCAGTTAAATTCTTGCATCAACGCGTTAATTTCTGGTTATTTATATATAAATAATTGAAATTACTATATTTATTGTTACAGAAAATAAAAATGATCTTCTTGCAATTGCTAAAAGTTTAAATACAAATAATCCACGTATTGCTCTGAAAAACATAAAATTAATTGTCAATAATAATAATAGTAAGTATTACAGTATTATAATTCTAAAACTACATGCAATATATTGCATTTCTATTTTTTACAGTAATTATACTTTTTTTGTAGAAACTACAGAAATACCACAAGATGCTTGCATTATCAATATGAATTATACTAAAAAGAATACTAATACTAACAATTTATATAATGCTATTGATTTTGACAATAATGTAGTATCATTTCTTTATAATGGACAAGGCCACAATGCAAATGATCAAAGTAACATCAATTATCTTATAAAACACGTTGATTCTAATAACGGATTTAAAACGAAAATTATTGGTAATACTGATAATTTTACAAATAATAATGCCGATAATAATGGAAATGATAGCATTGTAGAAAATATTAATGACAATAATTCTGCGAATAGTACTGATTTTGATAACAACGGGACATTTTCTAATGAACATGATCACACTGCAATAAATGATGAAAATTGTGTAACTAATAATTCTAACAAAATTGTTGGTTGTGATAATGCTATGATAATTTCTAGTGAGTCTAATAATGAGCAGAATAGAGTAAAGGCTACTAAACTTAACATTACATTTTCCTGTAATGACAGAAATCATAATGTAGTAGATAGCACTATTAATGCTAACAGTTCAGCAAATGATACTGATTTTGATAATGTGATACTTTCTTATGAGAACAATAATGGTTGCAAAACAGTACATAGTGATATCAATAATTCTACAAATGATAATGATCCTAATATTGATACATCATGTTCTAATGAACATGATCACAATGCAATAAATGATGAAGGTTGCGTCACTAATAATTCTAACAAAATTGTTGGTTGTGATAATGCTATGATAATTTCTAATGAGTCTAATAATGAGCAGAATAGAGTAAAGGCTACTAAACTTAAAATTACATTTTCCTGTAATGATAGAAATCATAATGTAGTAGATAGTACTATTAATGCTAACAATTCTGCAAATGATATTGATTTTAATAATGTGATATCTTTTTGTGATAATAGTAATGGTTGTAAAACGGTAGATAGTAATATCAGTATCAATAATTCTACGAATGATAATGATTCTAATATTGATATATCACTTTTGTGCAATAATAATAACATTAATGCTATTAATTCTAAGAATAACTGTGAGTTTGATAATAATGTGATATTTTCTTGTGATGATGACAATAACTGTCATGTAAATACTGATATTGATATTAATTTTATGAACAGTAATAATTATCATAATAATAATCTGACATTTTCCAGTGATAATGACAATTTCAATGTGTCTGAAACGGGTATTGTTCTCAAAGATGTCATGATATTTCCTTTTAACGATGATTATAATTCTAGTATCTTAAATGATCTCACTAACGCCAAAGCTTCTATAAATTATAATAATAGTGATAACAATATGATTTCCTGTGATGATGAAAATATTAACGACAACATTGCTTGTGCAAACACATTAAGTAATGATAGTTATAATAATATGATTTCCCGTGATGATATTAATGACAATATTGCTTCTGCAAACACATCAAGTACTTCGGAATATCTACCTTCAGCATCGGAAATTACAATTGAAAAAGAAATTACGGAACATGAAAGCTTCCGCAATAATGTTTCTGCAACTAATGATAAAAATTCTTCAGAATCACTGATAGATCTTTCTTCTATCAATACATTTGGTTGTAGAGAAGACAATTTATATGTTCCATTTTCTCAACCTAAGGGACATCAAAAAAAAATTTTTGCTACTATTGCAAAAAGTTTCAGAGTAAAATTGCACGTCATTTAGAAAACGTGCATAAATTGGAACCTGAAGTAAAGAAATTTGTATTATTACCAAAAGGTGATCATATTTTTCAATTCTGTATAATTATTTAAGTTTATAGTATATTTTTTTATAAATATTAATAAATATAAATATTTTTTTAATATAATATTAATATGTTATAATTTTTATTAATATATTTACATTATATATACATTATTTACATTACATATACATTATTTACATTATTTATACATTATTTACATTATATATACATTATTTAATATTCTCATTGCAGGTAATTTAGAAAGAAAACAAATTATAGAGTCTATTAGAAAGAAAGGGAATTTCATACACAATACGGATCCTTCCTTAAATACGGGAGAATTAATTGTTTGTCGAAGGCCTGCCAAAAATAGTTGCAAAACAGTACAAGATTTTATAAGTTGCGCAAAGTGTAAAGGATGGTTCACTAAAAATAATATCAGGCATCATTTTAAAGAATGTGTAGGAGAATCCAAAGGCAGAAATGTACAAGTTTTAGGACGTGCTGTGATGGGCAGAATTCATGAATGTGCAAGTGAGACAGTAAGAAAAGTTTTATTCCCAGTTTTGAGGGAAGATGATGTTACACAAAGTATTAAATATGATAAATTAATAATAACATTTGCGAACAAATTATGTATCAAGTACAATCATCAACACCAACAAGATATGATACGTGCTAAACTTCGATTATTAGGAAGGTTTCTTATCGCAGTGAAAGAATATAACTCTAACATAACAGAGTTTTCTGATATATATAATCCTTCCATATATGATGATTGTCTGAAAGCAGTAAATAAAGTAGCTCATTTTGATGATATTAATAAAAAATATGGTGCACCATCAGTTGCGTCAAATATTGGGACATATTTAAAACAAATTGGTAATTTGTTAATAACTGAATGCATAAAAGCTAATGATATAGAAAAGCAAAATGCTACAGAAAACTTTTTAAAATTATTACAAGAAGATTATGGTATATCTATAAACAAAACAGTAGAAGAAAATATGACACAAAATAAAAGACAGAAAAAAGTTATGCTTCCATCTATGGAAGATATAAAAAAATTACACTCATATCTAAATAACGAAAGAAAATCATTGTATGCAAAACTTCAGAAGAAATTTAAATACGAAACATGGCTAGAACTTGCAAAAGTTACACTTACATCAATGCAAGTTTTTAATAGAAGAAGAGCAGGAGAAATAGAACGGGTTACTATTGACGATTTTATTACTCGCGAAGGTATAACGAAAGAAACTCATTTAGATTTATACAAATCATTAGGCACAAAATTACAGCAGGTAAAAATTATTATTACTATTATTTATTTATAAATATTATGTATAAATATTATTTATTTACAAGTATTATAATTAAATTACGCACAATATGGTATATGATGCAAAATAATAATCTACATATAACTTTTGTATATAGGTTGCTGATAAATACGTAAGATTCTTAATTCGTGGAAAATTGGGACGTACAGTGCCTGTGATTTTAGACATGGAATTAGTACAATGTGTTGAACTAATTTTGAACCAGCGAAAGGATGCAAATGTTCCTGAAAAAAATCCGTATGTGTTTGGCATACCTAGTAGTACCAAACGCCATTTCAAATATTTAAGAGCGTGTATCCTTATGCGATATTTTTCTAAAAAATGTGATGCACAAATACCACATTCTTTAAGAGGTACTGAATTACGTAAACATATTGCTACAACATGCATTACGTTAAATTTATCTGACAATGAAGTGGATGATTTGGCGAACTTTATGGGACATCACGAGAAAATTCATAAACGCCATTATCGACAGTCAATAGCAGCTGTAGAGATAGTTCGTATGACGAAATTTCTTGAAGCAGCATTAGGTGAAAATGAGCAACAGCAATCTAATAATAGTGATTCAGGTATATACACTATTTATCTTATTATATATATGCCACAAGTACTTTTTATATATTAATTTTTGTATAAAATATATTAATTATTGTATTCCTTTTTTAAACTTTTCTGCATTCTTAATATATCTATTTAATTAGAAGAAAAAATCAGACAAAAGTCCGTATAAACCAAAACTTATGAAATTAAGGCT